TCACAATAACCGTTGCATATAGGTTATACAAAAGTACGGGAATATCCATAGAACGTTAAAAAGAAGCGAAAAATGTTTATAATAATTTAAAGTCGAACGTCACATTATTTTACATTTATAAACGTAGCCACGTATTTGCATAATAAATTATATAATCTATATTTTATATACTGTACAAAAATATATACAAAAATAGTAACTTTGATGTTTATATACAATGTACATATTATTATATTAGATATTAATTAATATAATACATTTGATATTATATGACTAGAAGCACTGTGATATTTTCCTGAGAAGAGTTTTTTTTTATAATTGATTTATAATCATTCATACTATAATATGTAATAATCAGGTCTCATAAGTTCATTTACATATCAATCTTGCAAAGTTGTATTTAATGCTAGATGACATAAAAATCCATTTCAAGGTATCACGGTTAAATATGTAAAATCTTATTTTGCATGTTTTTGTATATTTGGCATATTTATGCGTATTTCTATTTTATCGAGCATATTATATAACATTCTATTAAAATCTATAGAAAATCGAAATAGAAAATAGAAATAAAATTAAAAATAGAAATTTTATTATCTTTTCTTTTCTTATCTTTTTGATACTCGTACATTTAATGAATAAATTAGTTTCAAAAGTTTCAGATTTAAAATAAATTACTGACAAAAAAGTATATTATGCGCAGTTCATGAAGGCTCAAGAATAGTATTAAATAGTAGGTATTTAAAATCTATTTTTTTTAATTGTGACATAAAAAAATAAAATATAGCTATAAAAAAAATGAATGGATAATTCAAGTTATTTCAAAAATAATTTATGATTTTTTTAAGTAAGCATTTTTTAAATGCATAATTTTAGATATTTAATGCATATAACTTTTTAAAGTATATTTCAAAGCATATTTTGCCAATTTTAAATGCATAAATGCATGCTTATTTAGACATTTTTTATGGCATGAACTTATGAACCCTGGTAATAATATATATATATATATATATTATACAGTTTTTGGAAAGAACTTCGTTCGTTCACACGGTCACGTTCATATTTTGTGAACAACACGCAAACGTGAACACGAACGACGTTTAATTTTATGAATTTGAACGATTTTGGAGGTGTTCAAATTCATTTACCGTTTTCAAAACATAGATGTAAATAATAAATATTGGCTATAATATGTTAATAAGTATAAATGTATAACAAATATTTTATAAAGTACCCATTTATATGGATTGTAGATTGGTGATTCATGAATATAAAATAAGAAAATTTAAACGAACGCGTTCATTTTTTCATAGAGCTTGAACGTGAACGAGTTCAATTTTTAAGTGAACGTTTCGAACACTGATTTTATACATATCGTACATATAAGTACTATGATTTTATTAAATTTTCACCGGTTTATCGTAAATCCAATATTATTCTTCTAATTTTACTCGAAATACATTTAGGCGTATTTTTTTTCATGAATTTTTATCTCTCAACCCTTTCATCGTCTACTTATGACTATAAATAGTAGGTGCATACGAGTTATATATCTATCATATGCTGACCGTGTATGGTAAATCTAAAATCTGCCGATCGTCTTGCATAAATATATACATGGATAGTACTTAGGTATAGGCGCGTGTAAATAAAAATATTGTAATATATTACGTATACAACTATATTCGATGAATAGTGATGAATAGGAGGAAAAATAATAATAACAGCTACATCACCGCGTATGCATGCACACGCACACACGTATTCACGGTACAAAAATGGTTTTATACGCGCTCTGTACGTTCACACACACACACACACACACACACACACACACACACACACACACAC